GCTGAGCAGAGAGTCCGATGCGGGACTCGATCCTAGGACCCTGGGATCACGACCTGAGCCGAAGGCACACGCTTAACCGACTGAGCCACCCAGGTGCCCTAAAAGGGTAATTTTTTTAATGTAGCCATTCACAAATGGCCAGGGGAGCATTGCAGTGACCTTTACAATTGCATTTCTTCTTCACTAAAAAGTATTGAGTACTTAATACGCACCACACAGTTTTAACTGCTGTATACGTATTAACGGAGATAAGAAGGCAATTATCTGGGAATAAGTACAAGTATCCCATTTTAGAGATTGGGACACCAAAGCACATGGCTTGCTGAAACCAACACAGGTAACCAACAGTAGAACCTGGACACAACCTGGGGAAGTCCGACTGTAGGGCTCAGGCTCCCAACCTCCAAGCTCCTGCATCATAGCCCCTCACTGTTGCTGATCACCTCACCCTCATGTTCCCTCAAAGAGCTGCTAACCTTTTCCGTCATTCCTGGGCTAGGAAGAAGGCCACAATTAAACCAAAGATCACACGTAACAAATGTGTTTGGCTTAGGGCTTCACCATCCAGCAGCTGAAAACAGTACCAGTGCTCCCATCTGGGTTTACACCTGTGTTACCAAGCTGTATTTACTGTTCTGGCTTTATTTAAATAAAAGCAGGTGCTTTTTTTCCCCCTTCAATTGAAATCTTGCTTGGAACCACAGGATGTAAAACAGACAACAGGGAGCACCTGGGTGGCTCAGTTGGTTAAGGGTCCCACTCTTGGTTTCTGCTCGGGTAATATCGGCCTTATGAGACTGAGCCCCACTCCTCCCGCCATCTGCACTAAGCGGAGAGTCTGCTTATGACTCCCTCTCTTCCTCCCCACCGGGGTCTCTCAAATGTTTTTTTTTTAATTGAAGGTTTTATTTATTTATCAGAGAGAGAGCACAAGCAGGGAGAGCGGCAGGCAGAGGGAGAAGCCGGCTCCTTGCTGAGCAAGGAGCCCAATGCGGGGCTCCATGCCAGGACCCCAGGATCATGACCTGAGCCGAAGGCAGACACTTAACCGAGGCACCCAGGCGTCCCTCAAATAAATTAAAAAAAAAAAAAAGACAACAGGGAGTGAATTGGTTGACTTGGATGTAGGGTGTGACCCAAATGCCAGCTTTACTTCATTACTTCAGTGGCATCTGCAAGAGATCCCATGACTGGATTCAGAGATTGTGAACTACCTTGAAATCCCTTGGAAGGGGAAACCATCCCCTACATTTATTGAAAGGCTGCTCTGTGCCAAGCAATGCACTTTACATTTCCAAGTTAGTCTTTTTACAACAACCTTCAAGATAATTACACCTTTTATGGAACAGGACTGAGGCTCGGAGAGGTTTTGTAATATGCAGGACTTTAATCAAGATCTGTCTGACTCAAAGCACGCTCCTTTCACTCCTAGCAAATTGGCCTCCAACAGTCTAGAATCCCCAGAAAGCATCATGGCACATGCTAAAAGCTAGCGGCCCCTCTCCAACCCCACTCAAAGAACAGGAAACCCAAAGCGTCCTCCATGGGCATCTATTGCTACAAGTTTTTCCAGGATAGTTTTGATTTCGAGAATGTCGCCTGGTTATCACCAAAAGTACACTCAAACAGACCACATGCCCTGACTTGTGTTTTGAAAATGTGGTCGCTCCTGGGCAGTGGGAGCCACAGTCTTCCGCGTCCCCTGCACGGACCCCCAGAACACTCTCGACGTCGGCGTCTGACCGCAGGGCTCACTGACTGGACGGAGGAACGTGATTTATTGGCTCCTTCAGTTCTCACATCCGACGCCCCCGCCGCGACGTAGGACGTGAAAGCGCAGTCAGGGCAGCGTCTGCGGGTGGAGGGGGGCCGTGCTCCCCCCGCAGCGGCTCCCAGGGCCTCAGGGCGGCCTGGGCGCGGCATCCCAGGTCCGGACTCCCTACCCGGCCTACGGCGAAGCCGCGCCGGACTCCTGAGCGGGAGCAAGGTCCCAGCGCCCACGAGGGAGGTCCGGGCTCACGCTGACCTCCCGCCGCCGCCGACCATCCAGTTCTTCCTCCAGGCCACGTTGTCCTGCGTGGCCGCTGCCTCCTGCAGAGTGGCCAGCACTAACTCTTTGGTCCTGGCCGCCTCGTCCCTGCGCCGCGGGTCCTGCTCGGGCATCTCCTGCAAGCAGGAAGGGAGGTTCGCAGTTCTGACCCCCCCCCACAAGCCGGGGGCTCTCCGCCCGCCCATCCCACCTCGCACCCCCAGTTACTCCCACCTTCAGCATCGCCTGCTTCTGCTGCTCTCCCGGGGTCACGAGGACAAAGAGCGCGGAGCCCACGCCAGCCCCCGCGCCCAGGAGGGCACCCACGATCAGCGCTTTGCGCAAGGTCTCCATGGCCGACCGCGCGCCCGGCGAGGCGCCCTCTGGAGCCTCCAGCAGCTTGGGAAGCCGGCCACGACGTCTCACCGCCCCCCGCGCGGGCTAGAGCGTCGCGTAGAGGAAACCATAGAGAAGGGGCCGGGCTAGAGAGGGCCTGATCGGCCAAGCGCTCCGAATCTAGAGCGCCTGCGACTTAAAAGACTGGGTTTGGCAGGGAAGGTTGAGCGCATCCCGAAGTGTTGGCGGCGAGGGCCGAGCCCCGGACCCACTGTCAGGAATTTCCAAGTGGGATTGCTAAAGGGAGCGTGCGTGTCAGAGTGCGTGTCAGCCTGGTTGCTGTGGGTTTTGCAGTTGCCCAGTTCCGAAATCTCCTGCGAGGACTGTGCTCTGTAGTTTCCTACAATGATTTGTCCTTTTTCAGTACAGCACATACTGGACATCCAGATGCTTACACACCTCAGTCTACTGACCCCCTCCAGATTCCCTCAATTTATGAACAAAAACTCAAAGCCAAGTGTACTGGGTGAGGAAAAAGGTATCTATATATTTATTTTTCTTTTACTTTTTAAAAGATTTTAAGTAACCTCCACACCCAATGTGGGGCTCGAACTCAGGACCCCGAGATCATGAGTCGCAGGCTCCACCGACGGAGCCAGCCAGGCACCCTATTTTACTTGTTAAATAAACGTGTTGAAAGTAAATTTGTTGGGGACGCCTGGGTGGTTCAGTTGGTTAAGCGTCTGCCTTTGGCTCAGGTCATGATCTCAGGCTTCTGGGATGGAGCCCCACTTGGGTCTCCCTGCTCAACTGGGGTCGGCTTCTCCCTCTCCCTTTGCCCCTCCCCACTGCGCGTGCTCTCTCAAGTAAATAAAAAACCATTTTTTTCTAAAGATTTTATTTATTCACTTGACAGAGAGAGAGAGAACGAGAGCAGGAACACAAGCAGGGGGAGTGGGAGAGGGAGAAGCAGGTTTCCCGATGAGCGGGGGAGCCTGATGTGGAACCCGATCCCAGGACCCTGGGATCATGACCTGAGCCGAAGGCAGACGCCCAACAACTGAGCCACCGAGGTGCCAGTAAATAAAATCTTTAAAAAAAAAGTAAATTTGTTGTTTTTCTCATCATGGTATACCCAGACACCCCCCACCCCCTGCCAATGAAAACTCTGAATTTGGAGTAACATACTGAATTCTAGTTTGGAGAAGAAAGCACTTTTAGTTGGGTAACTCTGGGCAAGTCATTTAAGTTCTTTGTGCCCACCCGGGGCATCTGGATCAGGAAATAGGGCTAATGACAGTATCTATCTCATAGTTATAGGATTATTAAATGAGTTTATATATAAAGCACTTAAAACAGTTCCTGGCAAAGAGTTAACACCATATGAATATTCGTTAAATAAGACACAAAGAAACATGTCAAATCAGGAGACCCAGTAAGCAAAGGAATCAGGAAATTCTAAGTTTGTTAGCAAAGCTCTTCACTCACAGGGCTTTCATCCAGATGCCCTTGTTGATTCCTATCCCTCCTGCCTTTCTCAGTGTCACCCAGGGAGTGAGGAGACATAAAGCTCCTATTCCACCTCTTGGGATTTTCCCCTCCCCTGGAAGGCCCATAATCTCCTAGCTTGTCATTCTCTTCTCAGAAGTGATTAAGGGGCCAGGCTCCAAAGATTAAAGGAGCAGTCTGTGGAGGGTACTGAGCAGGGGTACTCCACTTGGAGTTCAACCACTCTGTACTCTAAGAATTAGCACCCATGGCCCTTGTGCCAGGGAGCAGTGAGGATGGGCCTTGGCCTAGAGAGAGCTCAGGCTCCTCCCAGCACCCAGAAAGTCCTCAGCTGACCAGCCCTCTGTGGATGGACGGAGGAGAAATTGTCAGGGTTGAAGGCCACCAGGATGTTCAGGTTAGTACTTCTCCACCCTGTGTCTGGCTGCTGGCTCATCCTCCAACTTGGTCCAAGCACCCTGCTATCCCGATTCAGGCTGTCTCTCAAAAGACCCACCTGCCCTCCATTGTGGTGGAAGCCTCTGAGGTGAGTGAAGACAGCGGGGAGCTTGGTTGGCCACATGAGGAGCTGCTGCTGCTCACCGATGAGGAAGAGGAGGCTGAGGTCTTCTTCCAGGACCAAAGTGAAGAGCCAGGTGAGGGAGGCAGCTGCTTCAGCGGGGCCGTTGTGACCTGGATGTTCTGGGCAGGACTGAGATAGGGACCTCAGCTGTGTCCCCCACGCCAAGCAGTACGAGCACACAGTAGGTTCTTAGTAAATGTAGTGGGGAAAAAGTAGAGGTGGAGAGAAAAGTCAAGGTGTCTGGCAACGTTGAACTTCAGAGGGAAGTTCTGAGCTCAGATGGGTCTGAGGGTGATGCCTTTTAATTATTTTTAATGTTTTAAAATATTCACATTGTTTGGGGCGCCTGGGTGGCTCAGTCGGTTAAGCGTCTGCCTTCAGCTCATGATCCTAGGATCCTGGGATCAAGTTCCACATCGGGCTCCTTGCTCAGTGGGGAGCCTGCTTCTCCCCTGCCTGCCGCTCCCCCTGCTTGTGCTTGCTCTCTCCCTGTGTGTGTGTGTCAAATAAATAAATAAAATCTTTAAAAAAAAAATTCACATTGTTATGGGGGAAAAGGTCATAAAACTATCCCAAATCAACTACCCAGAGATAAGTTACATTTTGGATGCCTTTTCTTCCAGACTTTTCCCCATGTCTGATACTGTTCTAGAAGCTTATTTATTAGCATTTACAGTGTGCTAAATGCTTTTATCTCATGATTTTCAGAACCCAGTGAGGGAGATCCTTTCATCCTCATGAGGAAACAGGCTGTGAAATTAGCCTTTTTTTTTTTTTTAAAGATTTTATTTATTTGTCAGAGAGTGAGAGAAAGAGCACAAGCAGCGGGAGAGGAAGGCAGAGGGAAAAGCAGGCTCTCCGCTGACCAAGGAGTCCAACGTGGGGCTTGATCCCAGGATGTTGGGGTCATGACCTGAGCCCAAGGCAGACGCTTAACCGAGCCACCCAGGCGTCTCAAATTAGCCTTTTTTTAAAAAAAAGAGTTTTTATTTTATTTACTTGACAGAAAGAGAGAGACAGAGCACAAGCAGGGGGGATGGCAGAGGGAGAGGGAGAAGCAGACTCCCTGCTGAGCATCAGGGAGCCAGATGTGGGGCTCGATCCCAGGATCCTGGGATCATGACCTGAGCCAGATGCTTAATAGACTGAGCCACCTAGGCGCCCCTGAAATTAGCCTCTTAATTATAATTGCTGTATTACTTTTTTCAATAGGAAAAAAATACACAAATTTGTTTCATCTTTTAAAAAGTCAGTAATAGATCAGGCATACTTTTCATTCTTTTTTTTTTTTTAAAGATTTTATTTATTTGAGAGAGAGTGTGAGAGAGAGAGAGAGCACATGAGAGGGGGGAGGGTCAGAGGGAGAAGCAGACTCCCTGCTGAGCAGGGATCCCGATGCAGGACTTGATCCAGGGACTTCAGGATCATGACCTGAGCCGAAGGCAGTCGCTTAACCAACTGAGCCACCCAGGCACCCCATACTTTTCATTCTTAATGGGCTCTTCAATTCCTCTCTCCCCCAGGCTGGACTTGGAGCCCACTGGACCCCAGATCTCCCTTAAGAACCTTTAACCCAGAACTCAGCTGGGGGCAGGAACAGGGAGAACAAGAGGTCTCCTGGATTCCTGATACAGAGTATCAGGAAGCCTCCAACCCCTGTCCTCTCTGGAACCCAGCAGCCAGCTCCCGGGTTTGTAGAAGCTACTTTGTGGAATATTCACATCTCCTGCCTCCCAGGAGCTTTGAGGGTAAGTATTCCTCTGTCTCCCTCGACGTTTCGGTGGTTTGTTATGAGGCCCTTCTATGGGTTCTTTCAGTCTTCTTTTACAGGTGAGGACAAGAGGGTTAGAGGTGAGGCCACTGGCTCCCACAAGTCAGTCAATACTGGGATTTGGATTAAGAACCCCTCTATTAAAAAACTCCCCAAACAGGGGCGCCTGGGTGGCTCAGTCGGTTAAGCACCCAACTCTTGGTTTTGGCTCAGGCCACGATCTCAGGGAGGAGCCCTGATTTGGGCTCCGCACTGGGCATGGAGACTGCTTGGGATTCTCCCTCTGCCTCTGCCCCTCCCCCTGCTCGCTCACTCTCTCTAGAATAAGTAAATCTAAAACCAGACAAAACCCTAAACTCCTCAAACAAACAAAAAACCCCACAGAACTCCTGTGTTTTTAGGAGTTCCAGTTCGTTGGGGCTGGGGAATGAGCCACTGCACCTTCTCTACTCAGCACTCCGTCTTGTGCCTGGCCTTGCTAAATGCTCCATGTTTCACCCATCATCATATGTAATCCTCTGACTCCGGGTATCATTCCTACCCTGCTGCCAGAGCGTGAACTGGGGCACAGAAACATTCAATACTCTGTGCACCCAGCTAATAAATGTGGAGGCCAGGCCTCAAATCCTTGCTTCCCAGCCATCTTACAAAGTTGAAAAGCTACCCAACGCTCTCCTCACCCAACAGAAAAATTCGGGTCAGGGCTGAAGTCTTTAATGAGAGCCTTGAACCAAGTAAGCAAAGTAGGTGATGCCCCCAAAAGGGCCTAGCTCCTGCACAGTCACAGTCCAGCCTGGGGACCCTTGCTCCAGGCAAGGCAGCCGCACATCAGGGTCCTCATCTGAGAACTGAATCAGGGTCCCCTGGGGGCTTAGGACCCTGAGGCACTCTGACAGAAGCTGGTAAGCCCCGGGCAGACCACCTCGGGAAATAGCATCCCAGGTGCCCTTATCCAGCACTAGCTGGAAGGAGCCTGAGGAAGCCACTGGCTCCAGATTCTGGGCATCAGCCTGCATGAAGTGGAGTTGGGAAGCAGGATGCCCAGGACAGAGGGGTGTTTGGCCTTGACCACCTTCCAGGAGACTCTTCATGTGGGCAACAGCCACAGGAGAGAAGTCCACCCCCAGCACATCCACGGGATGTGGGCACTTGGTGTAGAGGCCTGTACACAGGCTGGAGGTCCCACAGCCCACGTCCAACACCCTTGGTGGGCAGGCAGCCCCTGACTCCTGCAGCAGCGGAAGTAGCAACCCCTGGGCTTCCTCATACCCAAAGAACCAATCGAACGTGGGGACGCTGCCCCTACCGGCATCGGCATGAAGCTTATCCCAGAGGCGACGGTCGGCCAGGCAGCTACCAGCCAGGGAGCCTGTGGACGAGTGGAGTACGTGTGTCACCCAGCGCCCAAGTTCCATCCAAACCCTGCACAAACGGTGCTATGTACCCTGGGGTTTGAAGAATCACAATTTCGGGGACTAGACTCCCAGGTCACTAAGAACCCTCCCTCCCACTCTGTCCACCTTCCCTACCCGCCAAAGCGCGGCGCGCCCCAGCCGCCAGGGTCGCCACGTGGAGGGTTCGGCGCAGCGCGGCCATCTGGAAATCCCGGCAAGGTCGGCCAGAGAACCTTCTGCGAAAAGTCGCCCGCACTCCCACAGGAGCCTGAAGTCCAACAGAAAAGCTGCAAATTCCGCTTTGTGGAATAACGCGTACAGCCTCCCTAACAACAACCTCGGAAAAAAGAACGCGGACACACACCTACTAGGGTAGGAACGGCCTTTATTGATTGCAACGGGCAGTGAAAAGAGGAGGGAACACGACAGCTCCGGCTCCAAGGACGGTTCCAAGGACCTGAAATCAAAGGAGAAGGCTAAATTAGCATACCAGAGAGGAGCCTGCAGAACCCTGGTTCCGTCACGCTTCTCGGAGCCCGTGTCCCGGCGTCTGAGGATAGAACCGGCGGACTAGAAGCCGCGGGCACCGAAGACATGACGCCGAGGGGGCCGGAGCCCTTTCCCTCTGCCTCCGTACATTACGGGGACCGGGACCGCACACCCGACCCCCGCCAAGAAAAGGAGGGTGCCTAGGCCTCGCCCAGAACCCCCACCCTAGCACCCAGCTCGGCAACCCAACAGCGTACCTGTCCTACCGCCGTCCCACAAAAGACGCGCAAAAACGCCGAGCGCCTTTATATAGCCCTCAGGACCCGCCCCCGGTCTGCGATTGGCTCGCGGAGGGTGAGGGGCGGGGCCGACGCTGACGCTGACGCTGCGCCCAGCCAAGACGCGGTGGTGGAGCCAGCATGGGCGCTCCCGGCGGAAAGATCAACCGGCCACGAACGGTGACTGTGTGGGCGCCCCGACTTTGTTTCCCCAAGCGTCCTGGAGCCCTCTAATCTCGCCAGAGATGGGAATCTATGGGCTGGAGTCGCCGGGTGCGGGGTCCCGGGTCGCGGCTTCCGTCTGATTAGCATCTTCCTCCCCCTTAGGAGCTGAAGAAGAAGCTGTTCAAGCGACGGCGGGTGTTGAGCCGGGAGAGGCGACTGAAGCACCGGGTGATCGGGGCTGTGATAGACGAAGGGCTGATCACGCGGCACCACCTGAAGAAGCGGGCGTGAGTGCCAGACCCTCTTCGCTTTGCTCCTCCCCACCGAGTCCCCTTTCTCCTTCCTGCCGAGCTCCACCGCAAGTATCCCCTCTGCTTTCCGTGTGCACTGACTTCTATATAAGCAGCGTTTGTCAGTTGTGTTTGTGCCTACACTTCGCTATCCTGTCACAGGGCAGGTAGCTCACTACCTCTCTGGGTCTGGGACCCCACTGAGAATGTAGGAACTGTCGACTCACCCACCTCCCCAAGTAACATTATACGGCCACATAGATTTTTATAAATAAATTTAAAGCACACACAGGACGCCTGGGTGGCTCAGTCGGTTAAGGGTTTGCCTTCACCTCAGGTCATGATCCCAGGGTCCTGGGATCGAGTCCTGTATCCGGCTCCTGGGATCAAGTCCTGCTCCATGCGAGAGAGAGCATGGGGGGGGGGTAGTCAGAGGGACTCCCCCAAAGACCTTTTTAATAGCCGGAATCAACCTACCTTGGTTCAGGTTAAACTGGATGTCTTTGCTCCTACCGACCCTTCAGGTCCAGTGCACGTGCCAACATTACTCTCTCTGGGAAGAAGCGCAGAAAGCTCCTCCAGCAGATCCGGCTGGCCCAGAAGGAGAAAGCAGCCATGGAAGGTGAGGCCGAGGCACAGAGGTGGGGTAAGGGGGTAGCCTGGATTCCTTGGGGTTCTTTAATGCTTCCTCTTTCCTTTTGGTCAGTGGAAGCCCCCACAAGGCCAGTCAGGACTAGTGAACCACGGTCGAAGCGGCAAAAGAAGACAAAAGCCCCCCAGGATGTAGCCATGGAGGACCTTGAAGATGATAACTGAATCTCTCACCCCTTCCACCAGAAGATTCTCAGCTGGAGCCAGAAGGACTCTGGTTGTTTCAGAGGACTTTGGAGAAAGCATTGCCCCTTTTCATTCTCCTCAGACTTCTCTTCCTTGATGGCCTAGTGACCTGCCCCAGAGGGATGTGTTGAGAGGAAGAGGGTGGAGAAGAAAGACTGGAGAATGGGGCGCCCTCGCAGTCAGCTCCACTTTTAATAAAGCCCTAGAGTTCTCACGGAGAGGCGTGTGATTTAATGTGGGGCCGGGAATGGGCCACGGGAATTGGGCTATGGGTGTGGAAACAAGACAATTAAGACCCCGGAGCTCACTTGAGCTAAGGCAATGAGAAGCCAGGCTCTGTGATGATCCTATCTCCCTAGTGGTTGACACTCCCAACTCTCCATTTCTGACAAAAATACAGCTTATTGCAGAGATGGTAGAGGAGATAAGGGTCCTGATATCAGCTCTGCCATTGCCTCTGTGTGACCAGAGGGAGCAAGTCATTTTATGTTATGTTTGTCTCCACTTCCTTTGCTGGATTTTATAAATATATTATTTATTTATTTATTTATTTATTTATTTTTTAAAGATTTTATTGATTTATTTGACAGAGAAAGACACAGCGAGAGAGGGAACAAGCAGGCCTCCCGCGGAGCAGGGAGCCCGATGTGGGGCTCGATCCCAGGACCCTGGGATCATGACCTGAGCCGAAGGCAGATGCTTAATGACTGAGCCACCCAGGTGCCCTAATATATAATTTATTTTTAAAGATTTATTTTTTTTAGAGAGAGTTTGCGGGGGGAGGGTGCAGAGGGAGAGGGGAAGTCAACTCCCTGCTGAGTGCAGAGCCCTACAGGGCCTCCATCTCACAACCCTGAGATCAACTCTAAGATCATGACCTGAGTGGAAACCAAGAGTTGGGTGCTTAACTGACTGAGCCACCCAGGCACCCCTACTGGATTATATTTTTAATTTTATTTTAAGTAAGCTCTACGTAGGGCTGGAACTCATGACCCTGAGATCAAGAGGTGCATGCTCTACAAACCGAGCCAGCCAGGCATCCCAGGATTATACTTTTAATAAACTGAAAACCAAGCATTATTTTTCCCATTTAACATTCAGAACTTCTGTTGGAAGCTAGGGCTGGGATGTCTAAAGTAAAAAGCTGCCTGTGTGGAGGTGTGTTCAACAGAGGAAAAGCATATTCTGTCTGTCTTGTTTAATCAGTGCAGGCTTCCTGGAAGAGGGAGGGTTTGGGCCCAGTGTTGCACCTCCCAGCCCAGCTTCATATTTTGAATTTCAAACCTTCAGTAAAGTTAAGAAATTAGTACAATGAACCTTTACATATGCACAGAGATGGACCAATTTTTATCATTTTCCTACACTTGTTCTATATGCACTTGCAAATATGTATGTGTCTATATTTTTGTCTTTGCTGACTCATCTGAAAGTCAATTGCAGATAAGATTTTACCCCTAAGAACATTCTTCTGTACAGCCAAAATACTGTTGTCACACAACATTGGCTAACACTGAGTTTTTCATATTCTAATTTCCTTAGTTCTAATAATATTCTTTTTTTTTTAAAGACTTTATTTTTAAATAATCTCAACACCCAACGTGGGACTCAAATTCACAACCCCAAGATCAAGAGTCACACATTCCACCGACTGAGCCACCCAGGTGCCCCAGAAAAGACATTTTTAATATTTCGGTATACCCATTCTTCATAATTTTGTTCTGCCCCCGTATCCAAGGCAGAAGGAGCTTGCTGTGTTCAAAGAAGTTTCTGTATCTGGCATTATGCTAAGTCTTTTAAAGTGATCTTTGTAAAACCTGTGAGATAGGAGACATCATACCCATTTTACAGATGAGGAAATGGGCTTCAAACAGTTGGGTCACTGTCTCGGGATTACATTGCTGATAAATAGCAGATATGAATCTAGATCTGTCCAACACCAAAACAAGGCAATTTAGGTTATGAAATCCTTAAGAGCAAAGACCACATAACAGTCTCATTGCTAGAGAACTTATCTGGTTCAAAAGTCCTTTTACAGAGCAAAAGTTGAGGCTCTGAGATGGGAAGTGTTGGGTCCAAGTTTGAGGCAGTGTTAGGAGCAGAAATTGTCTCATATTACTGTTCTAGAACAGATTTTGCTAGTAAGTAGTATATACACTTTGTAAGTGATTGAACTTCTAAAATGTAAGAACAAAAAAAGAGCCATAATTAGTCATTTAGCTTTTAAAACACAATCACTTCAAAAGTGTTATTGGAAAATTGACCTCCGTGCTTCAGAGCCAAAATATAGCAGGAAGACAAGAGTTAGGGATAAAGAGGAACAATAGCTTTATTTATTTTTATTTATTTTAAAGATTTTATTCATTTATTTGACAGAGAGAGACACAGCGAGAGAGGGAACACAAGCAGGGGGAGTGGGAGAGGGAGAAGCAGGCTTCCCGTCGAGCAGTGAGCCCAACGCAGCGCTCGATCCCAGAACCCTGGGATCATAACCTGAGCCGAAGGCAGATGCTTAACGACTGAGCCACCCAGGTGCCCCGAACAATAGCTTTATTGCTTTGCCAGGCAAAAGAGCCTGCAGCAAGCTATGGCCCTCAAAAACTGTAAGCCTACCTGGAGGAAGGGGCTCAGAGGAAGGTGCTGGGGGGGTTTTATACGTAAATACAGGATCTAGCTGGTTTCTACAGGAATTGTGTAGGTGCTGCCAGCCTCCTTAGTCCTTTTCAGGGCGGTACCAGGTTCCTGAAACAAAAGGCTAAAAAAGGAGGATAGGAGGTTTGCTGGAGAGGGAAAAGTTTACTTTAAAATCAAGCTTCGCGGGGCGCCTGGGTGGCTCAGTTGGTTAAGCGACTGCCTTCAGCTCAGGTCGTGATCCTGGAGTCCCGGGATCGAGTCCCACATCGGGCTCTCTGCTCGGCGGGGAGTCTGCTTCTCCCTCTGACCCTCTTCCCTCCCGTGCTTTCTATCTCTCGTTCTCTCTCTCTCTCTCAAATAAATAAATAAAATCTTTAAAAAAATAAAATAAAATAAAATAAAATCAAGCTTCGCGGAAGCATTAGTGCAGCCATTTTGACTTTCGTCCAATTCTATGTTTTTAAGTGGTTTCAAAAGTATCTTCAGGAACTGCCATCTGGTATTATTCTAACTCACACTTCCACTGAGAGCAGTAAGCCTTCTGGCCTCAGAACCAATTTTCCTTTTCATTCATTCAACCAGCTACTGAGAACCTACTACAACGTGCTAGGCAAACACTGTTGTAGGAGACGAGGATATAGCCTTCAACAAAATAGGGGAAGTTCCTCTTGTCAAAGAGCTTCTTTTCTGGAGTTTATTCAACAAATATAAGGGATGCCTGGGTGGCTCAGATGGTTAAGCATATGCCTTCGGCTCAGGTCATGATCCCAGGGGTCTGGGATCGAGCCCCGCATCGGGCTCCCTGCTCAGTGCAGAGCCTGCTTCTCCCTCTCCCTCTGCCATTCCCTCCGCTTGTGCTCTCTGGCTCTATCCCTCTCTGTCAAATAAATAAATAAAATCTTTAAAATACCATCAACTTAAAAAAAAAACACAAATATAATAAAAGTAGTGAATGCTTATATAGTGCTTACTTAACCATTGCAGGCACGAAGTGCTATACAGTGAATGATGTGGGGAACAAAGGCTAAAGAAATATAGAAAAAAATTAAACCTTCTTACAACCTATAGCCCATTGACAAGTACTTGAGACAGGCAGAATGACCTTCCTCCAAGAACTCAACTGCTTCAAAGTTAATACTTTGCTAGAGGCAAAAGGCAACCTTTGTTTGACATTAGCCCGACCTCCAGGATCCTCCAAGTCTCCTTTAACATATGAAAATCCCTTTGGAAACATCCTTCATCTCTTACCCTCCCCCTCAAGATACATGTTAACAATCATCTTCCAAGCATATGAGCCACTAATCTACATCTGAAGGGTCTCATGACTAAAGTTTACTAGACAGTAGTAAATGACCCCTCAAGGTCCTGGAAACCTTAGAGACTTAACGCTCTCCCTAACCCCCTCCCAACTTGAAAGTATATGATGGGTCACTCTTCATGACCCCAGTGCAGCTCTTTCTGTCCACGAGTCCTGTCCCTGTGCTTTAATAAAACCTTTTTTTTTTTTTTTTTTGCACAGAAGACGTCTCAAGATTTCTTTCTTGACCGTTCACTCTGGTACCCCAACATTTCACATCAGTGAACATATTCCCTGGTTTCAATTTCACAACAAACCCTATGAGGGAGTTGTGCTATTATCATCTTCACTGGGGAAGAGGAAGTAGGCATAGAGATGGTGAGCAGAGTACCCAGCCAGTAAGTGAGATAGCTGGAACTTGATCTAGACAGACTGGCTGTTGTGGGGGCTCTTCAAGAGGTGCATATGAGCTCCTCATATAGTTACCACACTCCCTCTCTGCAAGGGAGAGGAGAGGTCCTGAGTTGGCAGGTTGGGGAGAGAGCAAAGCCTAAACAATGAAGACTAACAGAAGGACCGAAGTGCCAGCTTATGACCGGGAGAACACCTGCAGCCCAGCCAGCCCAATTTATTTTGGGCTTTTTCTCCTTCCCTTTATTTCCTTTTCCTCTCTTAGGAGTTTTCCCTCTCTTCCTCCCTCCTCATTCTCTCTCTCAGGCTCCCACCCACTGTGGAGCCCACGAGGGGCTTGAACTCACGCCCCTGAGATTGAAACCCGAGACGAGATCCAGACTCCCAGGCTTAACCGACTGAGCCACCCAGGTGCCCCCTGCCTCCTTTCTTTCCGTCTTCTTACCGCTTTCCCCTTCCCTTCGCTCCTTTAACTGCCTTTTCCATTGTCAGTGTTTGTTTACTTGTTTGTTTATTTATTTAATATCGTCACTATTTATTGATTAAAATGTTTCCTAGTGTTTCATTTTTAAAAAACCTCCTGAGTTGAACACTGAATTTTTGGCTTTCGGAAAAATAATTAAATCCAACTGTGAATAGCCGCAGCTAGCTTTAGTTTGTGTCTTAAAAGCCCTTTGAGGGAAAAAAAGGTTTTTTTGAGGCCGGTCGGATTCTCGTTGTCACCGTCGCAGTCCTGCTCTGGGATCCCGACGCCGTCCGGAACCAATGTATGAGGGTCGCGGACGTCGCCGGACGGGTTTTCCTGAGAAGCCCAGGCGCTGGTTCCTTTTGGGTTTCCCGTCAGCGCGCATGCGCTGCCTGCGCTTCGCCGCTC